ACAAGTGTACCTGCAGCGCCGCCGCCGTGGACTGCCACGGCCTGGGGCTGCGAGCGGTGCCGAGGGACGTGCCCCGGAGCGCCGAGAGACTGTGAGTACCGGGCCGGGCCGGGGGGTTCAGCGTCGCGCTCCTTCCCGGCCGCCGATGGCTCCAGAAGCTGAAGCCGCGTCCCCGCATGTCTCCCGAGGGCCCCGGCGGGGCTGGTCCGTGCTGGGAGCCCTGCAGGGTCGAGGCAATGGACTGGCATTGCCCACCTGGGGGCCGCACCTGGGGGCGCCTGCTGGTTCCTGACGGGCACGGTGACCGCATCCCCATGGAAACCTGCTCTCCTGCCCTGCCTTGAGCGCTGCGGGCTAGGCAGTGGTATTGAACCATCTCCGGTTTCTGCGGTAAAGTGAAAAAGCCGGGTGGGCGGTGGTGCAGGGAGCCTAGCTTCACCCTGTCCTCACCTCATCCCTCCGTATGCCCCAGGTAGGGTGGGTTGTGGAACAGCTGAGCGCTGCGAGTGGAGTGAGGAGTCCTGAGATCTCGCAGCCCTGCTTTTGTGAGCATCAGCTGCTCAGGGGAATAAAGAAGCGGTGACAAACTTCACTTCATCTCGAGCTCGCTCGCTTGAGATGCAGCGGTTCGCTTCTCTGATGTTGCTTAATATGTTGCACATGCATTTTTCAGATAGGCAGTGCCATAGAAATGCAGTACTGAAGGCTTTTCTGAAGTTCATGGCAACTCCTTATTTGGGTTCCACTGACAACACACCAAAGTGCAGTTCAACCTGTTTTGGAAGGTGCAGTTAATTATTCCCAAAGAACTTAAAAAACAAACAAACCCAAGCATGGTGCATGGAGTGACTGCCCACTGCATTTCAGTTTGGTCAGTGGTACAGTTCTATACAAGAAAGATTTCTTTTAGACATTTCATCTGATTTTCATCTGCCAGACTTTTAGTTTGATGCTAATTGAATGTTAGTAATCAGCTATTTACTTTTTGGAAAGGGTTAAGTTTGATTATTGAACAAAACTTTGACTTGAAACTCAGGGAGGTAGTCAGCAATAGAAGGAATTAAAGAGGCTAAGAAGTTGGAGCTCCTAGATTACTGAGACAGTGAGTAACAGTATCTCTATATCCAGCTCTAGATTCCCCAGAACAGTTCTCCTAGCTGAGATAAAATGCAAAGATTCAAGAGCTAGAAGCTGAAGCTTGTTAATTTCAGGCTAGAAGTAATGTTTCAGTATTAGAAAGGTCTGTGTCGGGTCAGAATGATTTGCCAAAGGGTGTGGTGGATTTGCTGTCACTTGAAGCCTAAGTCTAAAAATGTTTTAGCTCAGTTGCAAGTTAGAGTTTAAGCAGGTATTATTGGGTGAAATGCAATGGCTTGTGTTAAACCAAATGTTACGTTGAATGATGGTAATGGTCCCTTTGGGCCTTGCTATTAATATAAATGTGTAAAGGAACAAAATTTGAGGGGGGAAATGACATATAGGATACACCATACCTGAAATTTCTGGTATAGATTGCAAATTGAGACTATTCTAGCTTTTGTATATCTTTTATTTGTTGTGTGGAGTAACAAGCTTACTTCAAAGAGTAAACTATTGAGAATCCATATTGCAGGAAACTAACTATATTGTTAGTCATATCATGTCTAATTTTGATTTCTTTTTATTGCATAGTGTGTAAACAGAGAAGTTTCCAAATGGATGTATGTTTTTGTTGAAGTGGGATCCAAGCTTGCAAATTTGTCATGTAATAGTTTACTCATGTACAGTATTAACTAAAAGCATCAGGAGACTGCCAGGTAAAGAGGAATTTTGAGGATTGTCTAGTCAGTATATTAGTCCATATATTTTACTGGGGAATATCTATTTTTTATTTTGTAACTCATAGTCTTTTATTGGTTGCATAATATTTACAGAAATATGATGTTCTCAGAAATAAGTTTCATCTCAAATCCTTATTTTAAATTGCCCATAGTACAATATCTTTCTAAAGGTAGACTTGGTAATTACATTAACTTGAACTTCATTGACTAAATAAGTTTTATTACAATAAGTTGTGCATTCAAATTCCTTCAGGAGCTTATTCAGATGCCTTATTTTTTCTGCTTAATGCTTTTCAGTTATTTCTTTTGACACACGTATTCTTCACATTAGGTTATTGTCCAGGGCTTGAAATATCCTTTTAACATGCACATGTATCTTAGAGTCATCTTTGGCAGCTGCTATTGGTCTTAGCTTTTCCATTAACTCTAGAGTCTATCAAGGGACCTGACAGTGTAGTGAGCATTGAAATTTCAGTGGCATCTCTGGATAGACATTCTCATTCATATGTTTAGTCTTCATGTAGTATCTTTCACTATTTTTCTTTGAAACTAACCTGTGACTAGAGGAAGCATAAATGGTGCTTAAATGATAATGCTATTCCTGTTGCTAAGAGCAGGATGCAAATAGCTTTCGTTTTTCAAGATGCCCTGAGAAGTGTTTCATGTACTTCTTGATATCTGAGTGCCACTGAACTAATTCTGCATAAAAAGAATGCTTTGCTCTTTCTCCATCCAGGTAAGCTGTAGGCTGCACATGTCAGCTTTCTTGTTTTCATTTTAAATTCGCAGGAGATCTAACATTACCACTTAAGATATTTTCCCACCAAGCCCTTAGAGTTATGGTTGTACAAGCTTTACAGAATATTTGGGTTATTACGGCCAAGCTAAATATTATTTAAATTTGTGTGTTTTAAAACTACATCCAATGAAAGCTGAACTAAAAATATAATGAAGTCCCTGCCCTAACATGAGAGCAGTGCAGATCATGCAGTTGGGGGGCTCTAGGCTCGATAGGATCCTTTTTTTGAGTACATCTATGTTCAGGATGGTTGGCTAGTATAGAATAGGAACCCAAAACCGAACACTTGTACAAGTTGTGCATAAGGTAACTCAGTTTTTTTCAAGGAGATTAGTTCTCGACAAACAAAAACTGTTGCTTATACAGAACTTTAAAACTGGACAGCATAAGTCTTCCTGTATCAAAAGAAATGTGAAGTCACTGGTGTTTTTAGGAAAGTCAGTGCTTTGCCATTTCTAATAATGAATGTGAAACATAGACTTAAAAAAATAAAGTCTGGAAACTGCTTCTCTTGGAAAGGAAATTGTTGTTGGTAATTCTTTCCAAGGGCTACAATCTGTAGAGCAGTGAGTGGCCACGGAGACGATACGATCCTGAGGAAAGCTGGACTGAACTTTTTTTTTTGTTTTAACAATTTCATTTCCCACAGCATTTAAGCATAATAGCATCAAGTCTATATAATACAGCATGAAATGCAGAAATGCCTCAACAGTCTATGCTAGTCCCCTTTTCTTAGTGGTATTGCTTTGTTCCTGTACAAAGCTAAAGTAGCAAAAGATTTCACTGCAATTATTTTTATGGTGTAAAGATATAGCTGAACAGAGAAAATGAGTAATACCTGAAATGAAAACATTTACCTTGAAGTGCAGAGTAAATAAGAGTGGATTTATATTTGTACAGCGAAAAGAGCCCACATGTATAACATCCCTTCTATAAAAAAAAAAAAAAAAAAAAATCCAACAGGGGAAAAACGTGACAAATGATGTTTGACAATGGTATTATAAAAAATTAGAAAGTGGTTTGTTTATTTTTGGCTTTGGTTTACCCATAGAAATTTAAAGAATACCAGTGAACGGGTATACCACTCACATGGTGGAATGCCTTGGATTCTTTCATGTATTAAGTAGGCGCTGATCCCTCCCATGCTTAAATGAACACTTTCTGTTTGCATAGAAACATGAGCAAATCCCCAAAAAGTGAGTTTACTACTTAGGATACCTCCATGACAGGTATCCTAAGTAATGGAGCGAACTACTTGCTTAACAGCTTAATTGTTCAGCTGTTAACAAGTATTTGTGCAGTATGCTTGACCTTTCTAAATATTTGCAACTATTATTCAGCCAAGGACAAATAATGTGCTTAACTCTAATGAAGTATCATTATAGTATCTCTCCGGTGATAGAAACTTAACAATCCATGTTAAGTTGTTCCTTACATTCTATCTTTTCTCCCAAATGCATCTTGGTATTACTTTGTATGTTTAGCTGACTGCCAGAGTGTACTTCATTTTCAGCAGTACTCTGTTTTTGTATTCACGGCTGTACCTCATATTATTTTCTCAGTAGAACCTTGACTGACTATTCAGGCCCTACGAGGGAGAGATGGTGCTATACTTGAAACTTAGTTGTGCAGATAAAACCATTCACAAAGCCAGTTTTGGTGTGAGGCAATCTGGCATTCACTTGCAAATTGTTTTAGTGAGGAAAAAAAATCTTCTCTGCTTGTTTGTAAGTTTACCCTTTGTATAAGGATCATGAAAGCAAAAGTTACAGTAAATCAAAAATTGCCTCATAACACCTTTTGCATAGAGACTTCACTTGATTTCTCATGGGGATGTGTATTGGGAAGTTTTTCATTTGAGATACACAAATGATTTATCTGCATAGTACTCCTGAAGATCATTTCCACTGTTTTGCTTTTTAATGCTGAAAGAATCGGAACAGATTATGTGCAACAGTTACAGGTGATGGATTTTATTAATTTCCTTTAGATAAAATTAGAACTGATAATGCACAATATGAAACTGGGCTCTGTACAGTGTCTATAATAATAGTAGCAATACAAATATGAAGATGGGGATCCTGAGGCACAAGTGCCTTGACTAGTTGAAGGTCAGTGGATCCACCTGACTGCATGGTACCATCTGTGGGCTGTTACCTACAAAAACTTAAGCCTGTCTGAACCAGTTAGTTTCTAAGGTGCCACCTTGCCCTGCCTTTTGTTCCTAGCGGAAGACAAATGAGAAACCTGGTTACAACTATTTCAGGCCAATATCCAGCTTCTCTAAATGTAGTGCTTGAGCTCATTTGATTCCTTAGTGGCCAGAATCTCCCATGAAAGAATATGTATGTACAAACTCATCTTAAAGTAAGTTAAACACTGGTATAACATTGGATGAATTTCTAGCAAAGAGGTTAGGGTCTGGACTACTTGGTGGTGATCAGGTATTGAGGGAAGGAGCGTGTGTTCTGA